AAGATCTGCAACTGAGTCCTTCCACATCCCTGCCAGACTGATGAAACCTGTACTACGTACGTGTGGCTGTGTACACGGCTCTCTCTGTCCATAACCTTTCATTCTGACTATGAAGGACCAGACCACCTTTCACCTTCACCAGCCTGGCAGCACACCAAGACCGACAAGCCCCATCCCCGCCCCTCTCCCCCAGTGAGCCATCTCACAGGCTGGTCTCGCACACTGGGCCACGCTGTGCAATGTGAGAGCGAGCCTGCATGTCTTCGTGCCTTTTCATTTTACCGCCATGACAAAGTGACGACAGCGGCGGTCCTGAGAGGCCTGGGCACAATCAAAAGAAGAAGAAGGGGACTTTGGCGCTCGATACAGCTGAGCTGCACATGTCTCAAAGGAACACCTGCCCCACAGCCTCCCTGCTTCTCGCATCTTTCAAGCCTCAGAGGAGTTATTAATTTGCATGACGTTTTGTAATGCAGGAAATTATTTGTATTGCAGGCGTAGTAAACAAGCAGACTTGACAGGCGAGTTCGGGATCCCTAATGGGCTCTAAACAGGCTTCAGATGCCTTTTTAAGAAAAGCTCATTCTGACCTGTTACTGGTGTTAATGGAATGGCATTAGCTGTTATATACGAGTGCCGACTTAACAGAATCTTCCAGGGAGAGAGATGACCTGTGCCTCCTTGGTACACTTTGTAAAACAGACAAATAGACTGTATGGTGGCTCTGTTAGCATTAGTCTCCCTTTGGATGTCAGTGAGCAGCAGCTGCTATTGATTTCTCTAACAACACGGGAAAGTTCATTGTGGAGAGCCGTTCGGGACGGCGGTATCTCTTCTCGATTTTTGCCTTTAGCGCCTTAGCGAATGTGTCTGCTTTCCAGCTCCTTCAGCTCCCTTCACTTCCTTCTGCTCACGAGCAGGGCCGATCTGCAGGGCGAGAGGGGGGGTCTCTGAGGGCGTGTTCACCTCCAGCCCCATGCGGGAGCGCTGACGGTCCCCTCCACCTACAAACGCGCTCCCAGGGCAAGTGGCAGCTTCAGCCAATGAGAGGCAGGGGCCCTTTAAATACATGCCGAATCACTTGGCTTCCGAATCGCCTGTGATAATGCTGCTCCTTGTGTTTTTAAGATATTGCTAAGTAGCTGTTGATGTCAGAGAATTAGAATTTCAGAGCGGTAATTGGCTCTGTTCCTCCCCTCCCCAGCGCCGGACTGTGCTCTTGCCAGAGTCTCTGTCTTTTTGTTTGGCGACACTGTTCATGTCTGCGTTTGTCCCCTCGGATAACGCCTTTCATCCTGTTTGCATTGACTGCTGGCTGACGGGTAACCCTGATACACTCCGGCCCATTCATCCTGCTGCCGCACACTGGGTTGATTGTGGATTGGAATGCGTCTCTTTTGAACCAGGAGCCCACGTCTGAAAGCATGTCAATAACCCTGTGACTGCGGAGCTGCACAATACCAGCTCATGGGGAAAATAAGACCTTCATTTATTTACTGTGCAAACAGGAAGGCCCAGTGTGTGTGTGCGCGCGCTGAAATAATGAATATGATTCATTTGATTATGGCAACAAAAAGACCTTTATTTCTTGGCATTTTTTTTTTCTCACACAGTATATCTATTCTAATATGCCATAGCACCAAAACACACTTGGCAAGTGCTTCTTAAGAAAAGAAAAATGAACACAGGCACATTTCAACAGCTGAGGAGAAAGGGGCACACAGCAGAGCATTCATTTAACATTGTTTTTTTCCTGCCTCGCTGTTAAAGCAACTTTATTAACTTCTGGTTCCCTGTGTCTGGAAATATCGGGTCCTCGGTGTTGGCGTAGTCGCAGGCTTGGTAGCCGTAAAGACTTTTTTTAAACACAAGTGCTTGCCTAGCCTGGAGACCGACGGGAAACCTGCCTATTTCTGGCACGTTTTGTTTTCTGTCTTCGAATTCGTCAGGTGGGGTTACGCTGTGGCCAGTTAATTGGGAACAGAGCATGGCTCTCCTTTTGTGAAGTTTTCAAAAAACGCTCTGCAGACTCGTGCTCTGCTGTGCCTTCAGGTGGAGAGTTCACACTGGCTCTGTGGAGGTGTTGGACTAACAGGCGGGAGTCGGGAGTTTCAGTGGATGCAGGGCGCTTGCCTGTAGGGCTGGAGCACATTCTCATGGCCCTTAATTCCTGATACATAGTATTGAAGATGAAGGTCATTATCAGTCCTGTGCACTGGGCTGCTCACAGAGGTTCAGGGGGCAGAGACACCTCGCTGACTGGCTATTGACAATATGCCAGTGTCCGGACAGCACAGCAGTGCTAATTCAATATCAGGGAGGAGTCGCTCTGTCACTCAATAAATCAGTCTTATTTTTTTCAAATCTATAATTCCTGCCTGTAGGGAAGGATTAGTCCTATAGTACAGTATCACGGCTCTCATCAAAAGCTTAATGCAATCTCCATTTCTCTGTTTTCTTGCAAAAACTTATATAATGCCAGATTATCCAGCAAATTCATCTCACCGACCAGAGCTCTGGTGGCTAGGGTTTCCATACAGCTAGGTCTCGCCCTGTCGATCCTGGGCACATGGAGAGACCAGCCACAGCGGACGCCCAGTACCTGAGGTGTGGGATCCCACTGAAAAAGGCACTGTTGTTTCCCCTTGTAAGGAGAAGACTCCGGGAGTCAGTAACAAGATTAAGAATGACAGCTGGCGTTGACACCATTGTGAAACCTTCTGAGAGAATGAAACCTTTCTGGTAGTTATGATGCATCCCAGTTTTTTTTGTTTTAAGTTCCGACCGATGCCAAAGCCTGTTTTGCCAGTCCCGTTGAAAGACATAACGCTAAGACGAAGGATAATACGTATGATTACGCAAGAATGTTAATCTAGTTTTACAACGTTTTTTTTTTCTTTGATGGTCCATTTAAAACGGAGTGTGGGCATCTGTCTGCGCGTGACGTGGCTGCCCTTGGCCAGCCCACCTCGGCGTGTTTTATTCCTGCTCCTGGGGCAGGCCCCGAGTGCCTCTCTGCCTCTCTGCCGCTCACCCGGTCCGCTCCGTCTCCGCTCCAGGCCGGGATTTGGCTCCGCCCCCCACCTCTCCGCACCCACGTGGGACCAATCCAAGGTCCCCAATTAAGCGGCCAATGAGGAGCAACCCTTTCGGCAGCCAGTGACCCTGCTGCGTCGCCTCACATAAACATCTTGAACCGCGTCCAATCAGGAGGAGCTACTTGGGAGAGGCGTTTGAACGGTTGAACAATGGCAAAGGCCTCTTCTCCCTAACTTACCCGTAGCTTTACAGTAACAAAGCCCTTTAAAACGTAAACAAGGGACACGGGTTTATTTTTCAAAGTGGGATCCTTGAAGATTTATATTTAGAAGTTCGGGTTTTTTTTAAATGCATTAGTACTCCACGTTGTAATGCCGATGTCCACCAAAAAAAAAAACCTCTTTTGCTTATCAGGCGTTGAAGAAATTAACCCCTCATCAAGAGGGAAACGCGGTCACTAACAGCTTTGTTCATTATTTTCGCATTTCTGCCTGTGTCAGTTCCAACAGAGGGAAGAGCGCACCTTGAATCCGCCAGCGAGCGGCTCAGTTTGCGATAATGTGTCCTAATGCGATGTTTCTGCGCTAGTGTGTGCTCGGCGCTTGACATGGCGGGGGAATGGGGTGGAATCGAGCGCATGCAAATAAATTAGGTGGATGCCGTTTGTAAGCGGGGGCCGGTCAGGCTTCCCGTTGTAAACACCTTCCTCTTGGTGACGACGTTCCAAAAACAGCACCTCTGCAGGAAAAAAAAAACCCAAACAGGCGCGCACTGTTTTAAATCCCCTAAAGTACAACAAAGGAAAACAAAAGCAGAAAGACGAGCTGCGTCGGTCGCGACGAGCATGTTTGCTTGAGAGAAATAAACGCTGTGTATTCGTGGTAATAAAAATGTATTCGTTGAATAAAAGAAAAAAAATCAAACTGATATTTAGCCCCTGCTTCCCTGCCTTTTTCCCCCCTTTGTTTTATGCATGACTCTTTTTACCACATGGTAGTGACAGATTGTTTGAGCTAGAAGGAAAAGCCATTCGGAGCTAATTAAGCAGCCATTCTAGGCACTGTTCGCAGGCAGGAGGCTTGAGAAGCGCAGGCATTTGTCAGCGCTCGGCACCCTCGTGGGTTTGATTGACAACAGTCGGTGCCCTGACTGACAGGCAGCACTATCTCTGACCAATAGGGAGCGAGAGAGCCCTACCGCCGCCCGGCCATTGGACGAGGCAGCCGTGAAGGATCAAAGCGCCCCACGTGAGTTAGAGTAGCTCCGAGGAACACGTGATCGGCTGCCTTCCTCTCGAGTGCAGACATGTTGTGCGGTGTGTAGATTATACATCATATTTAAAAAAAAAATAAATGAAATCAAATTAATTCCTAATAAAAGCCAAAGGTCAAACACATCTTCTTAAATCATCGGACTTTTTTTTTTGTTTTTGAGCGCAACACGGCTCTTTGGCTCCCATGAAGTTAAAAATACATATTTTTTTTGTATATCGAGTTATTATACTGAGATCGCGATGATTGGTGTTGAGGTCATTTCGAATCGGTTTGAAATACAAAGTGTGGAGTGTCTGTAACGCACTCGACTAGATTGAATACGTGTCTAATGGAGTGAATCGTGCTATTTAATAGCCTATAGTGGGATTATTATTAGACTATTAACATACATCGTCGTTACAATATCTTTCATACAAGTGCTTACGCGTGAGATCACTTGCTCGGCGTTTACGGCTGTATTGTGACAGGTAATGTTGTTCAGTTACTGTTAGTGCGCTATCAAAAGCTCATCTTGTTTACCAACCTAGTTTCTCTAATTGGGCACAACTACTCTAACCCTATCGACAATACTTTACCAACATCTGTATGTTCCTTTAGCTTTTGAGCGTCTTCATCTTATCTGTCAAAAATATGCATATATATTATTAATATATACGTTTTTTTAAAGTAATAATTTCGTATTTCACTTGGCTGTAACAACTTGCAGTTTAGCTCCAAAATGGCGGAAGGTGACATCACGAACACCCCGTCCAATCCTCTTTCCGAGAGCGCCGTGTCCCCACGTGGGGACAGCGCTCTGCGATTGGCCAGAGGGGGGGCAAACTCCTACTGCTCACCTGATTGGGCCGCGAGAGGCGCTCTCGCGGCTGTTGAGCAGCCCCCTCGTGTCAGTGCTCTGTCTGTGTGTGGTACAGTGAGCCAGGCAGTGTGTGTGTGAGCGCGCTGGAGGAAAACTGGAGAGCAGAAGGTTGGTGAATAACAGCGTCAAAACTTTTTTTTCCGAAAGAAAAACGACATTTAACCCCAGTCTAACCCGAACGCGAGCTTTCGGTGGCACTGGGAGGTTCGAGTGGACGTACTGGACTCGCCACGAGCTAGCCGAGGCTCAAATGCTGCGTGTGTTTACGGACCAAAGTCTGAAAGGCTTGTTTTTTTAAACCCTGGGCTTGGATACTTGGATAGAGGCATCTCGAGTCGCCCGGCATCGCCCGAGGTCGCTCCTGGGTGCTCCACGGCAGACCCTCCGCGGGGAGATGATGTGCTGTTCAACGGTTCGTCTCGGGCGAGCTCTTCGTCTTTGCGTTTGTGTGAATCTCGGAGGGTTTTGAAGACTTGCTAAGGAACGGGCAAGCTCCCTTTTCCCCCACACCCCCCGTAGCTGAAGACAAAAGGTAAAGGCTGGCGGAAACGCGGAGGTCCAGTTCGGTTTATGCTCCGTGTGCGCTTTGTGTGTGTGATTCTGCCGCTGTTGATCAAGCCACGGGGCGCACGGTACCGTAGAGAAGGTTAATGTCTCCTACAAAAATAAACCTTAGCATTTTAAAATATGTCTGGCGGAGAGAACAAACTGTGTCTTCTTAACGCGTGAAATCGACGATTTCCATTCCAGGCTGGAAAATACGAAGATCCCCAAATCTTTCTGAAAATTAATCCTTATCGCCGTTATAATTACCATTACGGAGGAAAAAAAAAACCTGGATTTGATTCAGCTTTTCCCAACAGATGTCAACGGACCGTTTCTGTGCGATGCAATTATTCCGCTCCGACTGCCTCGGAGCTGCGTGGCTCTCTTTCTAATTGGGCGAAACTTGTTCATATATCATTCCTGTTTGTTTGTTTTTTTGTCCGTTTTGTGGTCGATGCGTGTTTTAAGGCGCTTGTTGGGGAGCGGATGAGCCGGGGCTGGCGCTGGGAGTGTTAGCGCCCCCGATCCCTGCGAGGAGTTGGGCTCCGGAGTTCGCAGACCTGCGCGCTCGGGACTACTCGCTTTGTCCGCTGGGGATTAATTAAAGAAACGAAGATATTTCCTGGACTTCCCCTTCGAAAAGGGGTACACCGAAGATGTATCCGCAGGGCCGACACCCGGTAAGTGGATTCCTGGCCAAAACTAGCTACACCTACCCCCCACACACACACACGGAGCAGTAGTTGAACCCTGTTATTTGAGAATCGCGTTCCGCTCCGATTTGCATGCAATTCTGTTTCACCCCTTCTGTAATGACTCTGCACCCTTTTGGGGACACCGGTATTTAGGGCAAGCAGAAAATGTGCCGTGCAGGTGATCACTCACGACAACACGCGAACAGGACACGTTTCGAATTTAATTTTCGCTGTCCTCAGACGTTGCAGTTGCCCACAATGGTGTGTGTGTGTGTTTTTCTTTGCCATTTGTGGTATGGGTTCGTGCTTTGTTCCCACCAGGTGCACTTTAGCGCTGGGTGGACGCGCTCTTTAGCGGGCGGCAGCAGGAAGGGATCGCGCGAGCCGCCTGGGAGCAGCTCTGTCAGCCCGCGGGCGGCGCGAGCTGGATTGTCCTGCGGGCTGCGGCGAGCGAGACGCGAGCACCCCCCCCCCAACACTTTTGGGTGCGATAAAAAGTGCGATTCCGTTTTCTCCTTCTTATCTTAATCATATTTTTTTCAGGCGCCTCACCAGCCTGGGCAGCCCGGGTTCAAATTCACAGTGGCGGAATCCTGCGACAGGATTAAAGACGAGTTTCAGTTCCTACAAGCTCAGTATCACAGGTAATCATCACAGCCGTAGGAAGATTCGGGGTGGGTGTGCGGTGGTGGGGGATGTCTTGTTTTCATAAATCCTAAAATGTACCGAGATGCAGGACTGCGTTCACCGGTAATAAAAATCCCAGTTTAGAGATGCGGGTGCTTATTTAAAACTATCGAGATCTCCGATCTGGGTTGTTGATGGAGTTGCGGATAAAATCCCAGTAGTGGTAGTCCATGGCTGTGATTAGCGGCGCATGTGACTTCTTTATTTCACTAAAGCGGAGATAAAAGTCCAACCTTGCAATTCTCGTTTTGAGTACGAGTGCCACGGTGATGTCAGGCGCTCGGGTAGTTTGTAATATGTTGCTCAGGAAGGGATTCTGGGGGGTGGGTAAGAGTATGGCTGCACATGTCGGTCTCAGACCTTTCAGCGCTGAAATGTGAATTTTCGTGGACAATGTCTGCACCGCTGCACAGCGCTGAAATGCTACGACTTGATTGGAAATGAAAGTGATTTTTTTTTTCGTTTTAATAAGGCGAAAGCGCCTGTTTGCAAAGTGACTGATGTTCCCGTACAGCCACTCCAAATTCTCCCCAGAGAGGGGGGGTCTTGTCGTCCCGGCGGCGAATTTCCGGGCGTGGAAAGCCGGTTTTTCAGGGGCTCTGGTGTTGTGACAGCGGCGCGGGAGGGGCGTGTTGAGCAGGGGGAGAGAGTTGAGTTTTGGGGGAGAGAGTGAAGACTGAAAACGGGCACCTTGTTTCCTCTTTTCAGTCTTAAGGTGGAGTACGACAAACTGGCCAACGAGAAGACGGAGATGCAGCGCCACTATGTCATGGTGAGCCGACTTTTCTCATTCCGGAGCGTGGTGGTGAGGCGTGCAAGTCGAGGGGTTTGTTTTAAGATTTCCATCTAAGGGCTGGTGTAAGGGCTTGTGAAATCACCCAGCAGCACGCGAAGAGATGAGGCCTCTGGCTACGGGGGCGGCTCCAAAACCCCATCCTGACCTGGGGTGGCTGTGCTTGGTATTACGAGATGAGGGGGTTAGTGTCTACAGTGGCCAATATAACCAGCTTTACATCCAGGCCTATAGCAGACAATAGCTGGCCATTGCATGTTCAGTGAGGATATGGGCAGGGCCTGGAATTAATTTCTGAAGAGTTGTACGCTATTTGTGATGGGTGTCGATTTCCACCACTACTCAAGGAGAGGGGTGCTAAAATGTGCTGTTGGGGTGCTTCCCATTTTTTTTTCATCTGTAATGCACGGCATTGTTCCTTCCGATAAACAAACAAGTGGGGGGGTTTTCGTGATCACGGCCAAGCTCGTGAATTAAAATGATCACGGTTCCCTGGGTGGGACAGACGAGTGCCCGCAGCTGCCATCGTATCTTCTGACCTCAGCTGAGATGAAGAGGAAATACAAAGAGGTATCGGAGCATGGCTGGGTGATTTAGGCTCGTCTGAGATCCCTATTACAGTGGGGTGCATGGCTTAACTTCAGCCACTATGAAAGTGCTTTTTTTTTTCCCCACAGGAAAAAAAAACTCCTATGAAGCTTGAGTAAACAGTTCTATTACTCACCCTCTGTTCCTCTGCTGATGGTGTCAGGCTGCAGGTTACAGAGTTCCGTTGCTCTGATCTATGATTTGTGACATGATGGTGTTTGAAAGTCCTTCTCTAACAAGCCGTTTGACTCAGGATGCACTGACCTCATAAAAGGATGGCAAGCCAGTGCACACCAGCTCTCCTGCAGTGTCCTGACGTACCTCCGTGGAGGTTTCTTTAAATAGCTCCGGTGGACGAAAGGGATACACCCTCTGACCAGCCAGAGATTTCAGGAGCTAATCGCTAATTTGCCTGTCCAGTTTTTTGTGCTCTCCTGCTGAGTAGTCACAGGCTGCTAGGTGATGGATTTTTCTGCTATTTAATATTTCTCCATTTAGCGACGTTTTTTTGTGATCTGACAAGTGGGTGTCATTAATTAACAACAAAGAAAACAGGATTATTGGTCAGTCTTGTGGGAGAGGGGTTGTTCTTGCCTCATGGCTTCAGGATCTGAAAGGGTGAGTAATGCAGTTGTTTCCGAGATGTTCATTGGATTTTTTTCTTTCTTTTGTGTTCCAGTACTACGAGATGTCTTACGGGCTGAATATTGAAATGCACAAACAGGTATGTACCCTGCAACCACAGCGCCAGCGTGCTGCCCTTTTCGGAGGGGGGTATTTCATTTGCATCTCTGGCGGACTATGGAATTGCGCTGTAATATTTCTGGGTTAGGCGCCTTCAATCATTTACAGAGCTTTAAGAAGGCATTGTGTGAAGCGTGCGGCAGTAAATCGGGCCGAATGTGTGTGAGAGGAAGGCAGTGTGGGTGTGTGCGCTGCATTGTGGGAGAGGACGTGACAAAAGGGGTGGGGGTGGGGGGGGGTCTCCCACCACATCTGTGTCTGGGATCTGCTGCGGATCCTGTTTGGCCAAGTGGGTGCGGGAGACAGTGGGGGCACTGTGCAGGCTTGTTTACACAGGGAGCCCAGCATCATGGGACTCGACACAGATAGGAGTCCTCCTCCTACTTCCTGCCACGGCCGTGTAGGTCTGACAGCCCTGAAGTCTTCCGGCGCGCGGCTGGAATGCGATGGGGCCGCGCTGATAAGATTAGGAGGGGAGAGCATGTGATGCCATCGCGGAAGGGAAGAAAGTCTGCGGTGATTAAGAGCCGATTCCGGCTGCTGAAACTGGTGAGCTTCGGTAAAGATGAAGTAACTGGCGTGGCGCTAGACTTTGGAGCCTGCCCCCCGACGCTATGCGGGCATCGCGGCTGAAGCTTCTGACCGTTATACCGAGAGAGTGGAGTTGCAGGGTTTGAGCGGGATTCGGGATTAAATCTCCAACTGAAGTACCGCGCCAGACCCCAACATTTAATGTCTGTAGCTGCTCACAGGGGCATGAGGGCGCCGGCCTGTGGGTTTTTGGAGAGTATGTACGGTTGGTGCTGTCTGGCTTATTTGTAACGAGCTGTCGGTTACGCAGACAATATCGGGTCGTGTGATTTAACGCGCCACGGCACTGCATTCTGAGGGGACACGCGGGGAGAGTCTGGGGGTCTCCGGTGGAGCCTCCCAACGGCAGTATTGGATTAGTCCCGGCTCTGCAGGGGGGTGAACCGCGGCGGCGAGGAGAGGGAGACCGGGGACAGGCCGTGTTGGCGTCAGTGGCACGGAGCCGGATGCCGGGCACGGCACCAGATGCTCGGCAACATTGAGCAGGAGCGAATCCGCCAGTGGCTGGGGGAGAGAGAGAGAAAAGGAGTTATTTCTGGGGCAGGTGGGACGGTCTGGGGTAAACAGGTTAATTAGCCGACCTGTTCTTAGCGGCTGCCTTTTGTTTATCAATAGCCTCGGCTGACCAGACTGCAGCGGCTTGAATTATTCATGCGGAGGCCCTTTTCCTTCCAAATCGGAGCGCTTATGATTACATCTGCCCGGAGTAGACGCACAGACGGGCTCTCTCGTGTGGGGAGGGGGTCGGGGAGGAGGGTTAATAGGCTGGCCTTGGCCAGCTGCAAATGAAATCTTAATTCTACTGAAGTTCGAGGATCGCTTTGAGGGGTAGGTCTCTTTATGTACGTGAACAGTACAGGTTTCACGTCTCGTGAAGTGAGGCAGAGGGAAGCAGCCTAGATTCTGGAGGCTGGCTGATTATTGCAGCTTTGGGTGATTTGTTTTGACAGGCTTCTTATTATGTGGGAATTGGGGAAGTAATTGCAGTAGCCCGGTGTCAATCAGCAGTTTTAATTGTTGCAGCTCATTATGCTGCGTTTGCTGGAATTCTTGTAGAGGAGCAGGGGGAGACGCGAGTGGAGACCGGCGAGCAGGTGGGGCCTGGCGAAGGCAGGAGGAGTGCCTTTCCGGGACTGCTATTTGGTTTCCTCGACCTGTTGGTACCTGAGCTCGCTCGCGGAGATCCGAGTTGATTAAGGGAAGCCCCGTCTGCGGGCTCTGTGCCGAGCTCCCTGCTCTTTCTTCGCTCTGCCTGTTCAGATGAATAATTTATGCTGGTTTCTAGGACTTGTTTACCAAGGTGATGATGGCTGACTTGTCTGGAAGCCAAAGCAAACTTGACTCGATCTTGAAGGAATAACTATAATGGAGAAGTCTAGTCAGGAGGTGGGGCTGTAGCCCGTGATCTCTCTGGGTTCGCGGCGATCTGGAATTGTTGAAGCCGATACCCTGATTTCTTTCAAGACGTAACTGAATGAAATTCTTGCCGTTGTTGGCAACTTGATGAGCCGACTAACAAATAACTTCCTCTCCTTATTCTTCGGGACAGGAAGGAGCTAGGTCCTTGATCTCCGGTACGAGAATGAGGTCTCAAGCTGAAATATTGTGTGGGATTGAACTGCCCTGTGGTGTTTTGGGGCTCTAGTCAATGTGGTCGGACCTTACCAGTATCACCGCAGCCTGATCAGTTCTGACTTTGGAGACCAGGACTGGGCCTGATCGCTGCTGGGGTGGGAGACCTCTGTGCTGTAAGTGGTGCTGGTGGCACACCCTGTTTGCGCCAGAGAGTTCAAACCACTGCCCCAGTATGATGACGGCAGGCACTCGGTCATTGAAGATCCCGTGGATCTGTTTGTAAGAGTATGGCTGTTATCCTGGCTGCCCAGGCTACACCCATCCCGGGATACCCTCAAGCTCCCACTCGGTTCTGTTGTGAATCATGTCCCCACTCTTCACCTGACTGCATGTCACCCGGGTAGGTGTTGCAGTTGTGGATGAAGTGGATCTTCCATATGTACATGGAGCATCGCCTTGGAGCTTTGGGACTGCAGTGCGAATGCAGTTGGTTAATTAATTTCGCCACAGGGAAATAACTGCTGAGACCATGAGTCTTTTTCCAAAGAAGTAACTAACTTTGGTTGGCTTTCCGATAGGTGAGTGTTCGTCGCTGCCTTGCCGATGTAAATTTCCACGGTTGTCCATTGTGGAAGGCTTGTCTCTGGGATCACCACAGGGATAATTAAAGTTATTGTGTAGAAGAACCTTTGAAGGGTCATAGTCTCAATTTTGTGCTGTGCACACCACTGGGTCTTGGGCGTCTGGTGTTACTCCTGTTGACTCAGCTCTCAGGCACGGCTGTGTGCACAGAGGGGTGAGTAATGCCTTCAGGCATCGGCCGGGCTTAAAATAACACAGGAGATGTAACTGAAAATGTGTAGAACAAACACTTTATATTAGGGCCCAGCTGATTAAGAGCAAGGCCATCATTCTGCTGTGGGCAGATCCCTGCTGAGGTAAATTTAGACTCGGAATACCCAGACTGAAGTACCGGCTATGGTTTTGTGTTGAATGGATCGAGATGGGTCTGCGTGGCGACTGTAAAGATCCTGAGCAGAGCTGCAGAACACAGAAGGTCTGAAATTTGACCTTTCCTTTTTGGGTCACTCGCTTCTTGATCTGACAGTGATGTCCGGCATTATTTCTTTTTTTTCCCTGTGCCTCAGCTGGCCAGTTGGTTCCTTATAAAGAAGATCCTTCAATTTTCAGTGCCCAGTGCACTGTTGGTTAATGTCCGCGTGTCTTGTCCTCATGTGAGCTTTAAGTAGTTCGAGTTGCTTTTACCATAGTATTCGTGTCAGTTTTCTGTTGTGGTACCCGGAAGTTTCTGTAGTTCTCGGTGGGGCCTTTTATGAAAACTTTGATGTGGGGGGAAAAAAACAACTTTGATTTATGAAACGCTCTGCTCATTGCTCTGCCCTGCTTCACGGTTTGCACTCGGGTCTGCAGCCAGGCTCCTTGGGAGCCCTGGTATCTGGCCTGTGTCCAGAGCCCAGCCCCTGCGTGTGTGGGTCGGGGACGGGGGGTGCTCCAGTCTCTCGGGGGACACCGGCGTCCCTAGCCTGCCTGCCTCCTCAGCCTGCGTCTCTGGTGATTAGTGCTGTTGGTGGCCTGGAGCTCCACAGCACGCACGGCTACAATCACCAGTTGTTTTCCTGCAAATTTAATACTCATCAGTGTCTCGCTCCACTTTGCTAATGCCGATAGCAACAGGGCAAATAGCTTTCAACATGCCATTGACAGGCCGGCCTGAGAGCGCTCTTGAAGCAGTGCTAGACAGCTCCGAGTACCTGTAATTGTGTACCAGAGCGCAGAGCTCGCTGCTCAAGGGCTCTGCTTTCATTGGCTTAAAGTGACAATATCCTATTTTTATCCGGTGCTAAAAGCCTGCTGCACCACACAATGGAAACTGGGCCTTTTTATCTTTTTGCTTATCTTTTTTTTCAGTTCATTGTGTTTTTTTTTTCTTTTAGCTTCGTACCAATTGTCTAAAATGGCAAACGCTGGTCACAGTGCCCCCCCCCACAAAATCAACCAAATCGAGCTGATCCCTCATTTAAGCAAATGTTGATTCACTCTCTAATGACTTGTTCTGGCGCCAAGCGTTGCTGTAGAATACTAAAGGACCCAGAGGAGCGCATTCCGGGCATCTTCACAAATTCTGGATTTGCTAAAGCGGTGCGTCTTCCGTCAGAGTTGTGCAGCTCGCCTTTGTGGTACCGACTGGTGTTAGGCGGTGGCGGTGAAGTGGACTGGCCACCGAGACACGGGCCTGAAAGGATCTGATCTTCTGCCATCCTCGGTATCGTATCGGCCAGCAATCTGGGCCGCTTTCTTTCTCTACAGCAGCTGTCATCGTCGCGGTTTCCTTGTACGTGCTGGACATGTCTGCTACTGCGGTTGTGTTCCAGGCTTCGCGTTTGCTCTTGAACGTGGGCTGTTCTCGCCTCCCTGCCGCTTCTCCAGTGCAGGTGCTCGTTCTCTTTCTTGTAGCGTGCGCTGTTGACGAAGGGTTTCGTATGGGGGTAGCTGTGCTCGTGCTGTATTGACATGCTTCTCTCCCTGGTAGCTGAAGTGTCTCTGACATATTCATCGGAGAGTCCCGCTAGCAGTGGGATGGGGTGTGGGCTCAAGATTGGTGAATCGCACTGAATTAATTGGTGCTTTTACACGAGTTGCCATCCAAGTTCTCTTGTTGGAACCAAAGGTACAATCTGGACCGCAGGCAGCCATCAACACGGGCTGTCTGTTGCCGAGCTCTTGGGAGCTGCTGTTCCTGATGGTGTGTGAAGCAGTGAAGGTCTGGGTGCTGTGTGTAAGTCATCACCTGGATCTTCTGCGGAGGAGGAGGAGGCAGGCGAGCTCCAGCTGGGCTTTAAGAAGGGGTACTGTGGGTCAGATGCCCGTAATGTCCTGTTGCGGCCCTGTTCACCTATTAAAGGCAGCGGAATCCTATGGCCTTCTGGTAAGGTCCTGCAAGGCTTTTCACACACTTGTAGTAACTGTTGATTCAGAAAAAATGGTGCTGAGGAGGACTGCTTGTTATGTGAAAAACCTGCCGCCCTGGGAGCAGGGGTGGGCGGGTGGGGTGTTGCTGGAGCCCTCTTGTCTACTCGACCCCCCCCATCCGCCCCCTCCCCCAGACCCCTTTTATCCACCATTAATTTGCGGAGCTGATCTGATCGACAGCCCGAAAATTCAATTTAATGACCTGCCTCTGTGCACGTAATATGATTTTACAGCCTGTTACGGTCAAGCTGAGGGAGCAATTTACATAATGATCGCAGGGAGATAGGGGCTGCTGGCGTTGCTGTGGCAACCCGGAGCCGGGGCCAAGGAAATGGAGATTGGAGCCAGTCGGGGCAGGAAGGGGAGGGGGGCTGTGGCTCTGGACCTCGGGGCTAGACGGGAGGGAGTGGGAGTGTTACAGGAGGTGCACTCCAATCTAAGGAGGGGTATGCTGGGCTGTGGCAGGGGGACTGCACTTCTGTCTGTCTGCATGCGCGTCGGGCAGTGGGAAACAAGCTGACTGACTTCAGGCCTGCCCGTGGAGCTGGTTTACACCTGCTGCCGGTCCAAGATGACATTACCTGGGGGCCGTTGTTCTCTGTGAGCGGGGCCCTTGCTCTGTGAATGCAGGCAGGCAGGGCGCATGTTCAGTAGCTCTTGGGCGTTATTCTAGGGAGTCAGAGGTCACGCAGGGAGAGCAGATCCCTGGCGATTACACAAAGACGGGGCATCAATGGAGCTCATTTAAAGGGTTTAAATATTTCATGGGTCTCTGGTTCTGCATCGTGGAATGCTTGTGAAAGAGAGGGGTGGTGGAGGGGGGGTCTATTCAGAGTATCTCATGGGGAGATTGGTGTCCCTGTGGTGGCAGATGCATAGTTAAGACTTTTGTTTGCTTTGTCAATATCCATTCGGATTTTCATGCTCCGATTTGATTCATTTTCCCCTCGTCGTTTCATTTCTGTGCTACCAAACGCGATAGTTGTCACCATGTTTTAGCGAATGCTCGGCGTAAGCAGAGGTTTTGTAAGACCTTCCCGGGATTAATGAGCTCTTACCTGGAAATGAAAGAAATTAAGGGGCAGCTCAGGCTTTCGCTCCCCATTCTTCCTGAATACATTCTCTTCATATTTGGTATTTTGAGATGTTTGCTTTTTTTCTAAACTTCATAAAGCTAAATTGCACATGGTAATCAGCCTTTTTCCCCCCTCTTAAAGAGGTTGTATGAAGTGGTCTTGATATTCATCCTCATTTTCTCTCCCTTCTTTTCCAGACTGAGATTGCTAAACGGCTTAATGCAATCCTAGCTCAGATCATGCCTTTTCTGTCACAAGAGGTGAGTTTCAGAAGCAGCGTGAATGTTTTTCCCCCCCAGACTTCATTTTGGAGTTGGCGTTTTTACGTGAATTTGTGCCGATGCCTACATGTTTAGGAACAAAGGATTGACCTGATCTTACAGGTGTCTTAGGTTCCACCAAGGTGTGAAAACGGCAAACAGTCGGTGTGCACAGAGAGGAGGGCAGTGTTGCCTACCGTAGCTCGTTAATTAAGAGAACCTTGAGATTTAGGTTATCAAAAACAGAATATTGGGGGGACTTGTCTTCTCCCCTATCTTAAAGGGACCTCTTATTTGGTGCATTTTAGGCAGGGGGGAATTGTGGGGTGCCCAGCGGCGCTCTCGCTGCAGTGTGTGAAACCAGTGCCCGCGTCTCGCCTGTCTGTCCCTCACTCACTTCTGTCTCCTCTCCCCTTGCAGCACCAACAGCAGGTTGCGCAGGCTGTTGAGCGTGCCAAGCAAGTGACAATGACCGAGCTGAATGCCATCATCGGGGTACGTGGACTTCCCAATCTGCCTCTCACCGTGTGTATACCCTCTTATTCCTTCATTTACCACCGCCAGGGGCAAATCTGCGCACGGCCAAGGGGAGAGGGCTGTCTGGAGAACAGCTCCTACTCCTGCAGCTCGGACCTGCAGGCATCGTGCCTCCCTCAATCAGTGCCACACACACACACACACTCCTTGTCATCAGCCCTGCCCCTCAGGTGTGGGAAGGTGTGGAGACGTCTCCCTCACTGCTGCGAGGAGATTTTGCCCCATCAGCATGGCGCATGTGCCCACTAAGCACGATTCACTCTGTCCTCTGCTCGGCTTTCTCCTCTGTGTGCAGATTTGGCTCTGTCATGAATGGTTTTGTTGTTGTTGTTTTTTTAATTCCTGATGTGCTAATGTGCGGTTTTAATTTTTGATTCTCGAGGAGATCGCCTTTTTCGTCTTGTGTTTTAACGTGACCATTCATATGTTCTGCCATCCCGTGTGTAAGGGCTGAGGGGTGAGAAATCTGCAGTGGCTGTCCCTTGTTTGAATTTTGGCCTAGGGCGGGCGAGGTGTTTATTCTAGAAAGAATAATCGTCAGATTGGATGCTCGGACTGATAACGTGCAGAAAGGATTGCTTTAATTGGATTACCGTGTGGAGTTCGGTGTGTCCGTTACTGTTGACCCACATAGCTTAGAGAATTAAAAGCCAGTGTCCATGTGCTCTCTCTTGGCTGCACCCTCAGTATACTCAGTGAGGAGACAAAAAATTATGCGTAAAACCAAACTCGTTCTATCCTTCCGCAGTTTTTTGTAATCCGCCCTAGTTCATTTGTAGATGGGGACTTGCATAAAACAATGGAATTTATAGCCTGCAGAGGGATGAAATGATCAATTCTTTTGCCTGATCAAATTGGCTATCTTTTTTCCTAAATAAGACTACAAAAGAAAAGAGCCTGATTCCGTTTTGAGGAGCCTTTCTTGAAAGCGGTCATTGGGAGACTTGGGAGTCGGGCTGGGGCAGCTGGGAGCTAGATATTGGAATTCAATTAAGGCAAATGAGTGAAGGACAGTACCCCACCCCATTTTCAAGGTAATTGCTTCCTCAAATCTGGCTGAAGGGGGCTGTCGGGGGGGCTGGTGTTCCTGCTCTCCCCCTGTCGGCACGCCTGGCCCCCGATCGCTGGAGCACCCCGGCAGTCCGCGGGTGCTGCTGCGCTCTGTGGGAGGGCGATGGCGGGAGGTCAGTGTCTGCCCAGAGAGGGGCCGGTCGGCTCGCGTTCGGGTTCAGCGCGAGGAGAGAGGAGCGAGGCTGTACGTGGTACGTGGACAGAGATGGAATCGGCAACTGTTAACCATTTTAGGGCAGCGTGCCGGTTTTTCCGATAATCCCAGCGGCACCTTTTCATCAGTGAAGTGAAGCCCCAAGGTCTATAAATCTTCATTATGGTAGCAAACGGAGTATCTTTTGTTTACCAGTTCAAGTTAATGCAGTGCATGACTTTTTTTTAAGCCAGGTGTATTTGCTTTTCAAATTTGTATTTCCATATCGTAATTTGCATGCACCTAATAGATGTTGCTTTTTTCCCTAGAGGATATTACTGTGCGAGCCCGACTTTGATGCAAGATTTGCAAATTCCCTGCAACGCTGTCACAGTGTTATCCGGGTTTAGAGGTACCCAGATGGATCGGCACGGGTTCGCTTGTTTTGTTGTGCAGAGGAAGTTGGCTGGAAGGTTGGAGTTTATGCAGTGGATGGGTAGAATCAAATCTGTATTTCGGGAAGAAAATGTAGGCTCTGATCCAGCATCTAGAAAGAGGCGATATTAAAATAATCTGCCTGCAATGAAATATGACTGAAATAGGTCTGGAAAATGTTTCCCTGACGTATTGATTGCAAAACAGATGTTTTAAAAGTGGATCCTGACTGAAGGCTCTTTTCCGTCTCATCTCCTTTGGCGTTGAATATTTTATTAACATATTGTCAGACAGGATTGTCTCCCCCACATGTTCTGTGGTGTGTAAAGTGTTATTAAACCTGAATAGATTGTCATCTTGCTTCTCTTTTTTTTTTATAGTCCACCACAATCGTTTCTTAACCCTAGGGTTCCAGGCTGGGTTAAAATCCTGATTGGGAGTCCCAGTGTTAGACTTGTTAGGAAGAGGAAAGACAACTTTATTTTTAGAAAGCGGGCATTGTTCATTCTGTTCAGCCTTGGTAAACGTGCCAAAACTGTCATGAATATTTGAAAGGGCGAAGTAGATGAGCTCTCGCCCAGCAGTTTGCAGAAAGAGTAAGACAAGCCAGCTGCTGAGATGAGCGCATTGCAATCCCCAAAGCTGGGGTCCTAGGAGCCCTTCACGGCATGCATCTAGGACATGTCGGAATTGGTCTTCTGCTGCTTCTACCATTACAGCTCCCTCTGTGGGTTTCAAGTTGGAGAAGGGCCCTGTCCTGATGGCGCACTTGGTTTTCAGGGGGCGTTTCCTCGGCCAGGCTGGAAGAGAGAGCCATCCAGCTCGACAGGAGAATTTCCAGAGCAAATTATGCTGGAATGTCTTTAGAACTGCAAGAAACCATTGTCGTGCTTACTGACTTTTTTTTTTTGGAGCTCCATGCTGAAAGCATGTGATTTTCCGGAGTTCTGGAACTGCAGCTTTTAGAAAGGCATAATGTGCGGGTTGCATCACCATGCTCTGGATTACAATATTTTTTCCTCTTCTTTGCAACTCAAAAGAAGTGTGTTGGTGGTATAGTTGAGATGGGACAGCCCCTGCAGATTTCCACTGAGAAAAGTTCAGTGTCAAATGAACCTTCCTCCTCTGCATTTTACAGTTTGTGAACAGTGATTTTTGCCAACATTTCCATGCTTCATCTAATGTGCTTTCATTTGATGATTGTTGATGATCGAACGTGCATGGATTGTCACGGTAATTTGGGCTCTGGTGAAAGACCACGTTTTTTTGGGGGAAAAATGACCTTCCATGCGGTTCGAAGCATGTATTGTGTGTGGCTGAAACTTGATGTGAAAACTCACTTGGTTAATTTGTTCATTGCATTATTTTTTAGTTGCAAAAAATGCTGTAGTCTTGATCACAGATTAAAAAAGAAAAAGAAATATGAAGACCCCAGGTTTTGGACCCAGAATATTAAATTAGGTATATTCTTCTCTAATTCTGGCTTCATAATTAGGCCTCTTGATATTGTTCCCTTGGGTTCTGCCTATACATTTCCTCATTAGGAAGGTTGTTTAGATTGAATGGGGATTTCCCTCCTGCAACGGGTTTGCTGCCTGTAGTTTCTTGGTTCTTGATTGCCATCCCCATACCAATAAGCCCCCTGTCCTGACGCCATCATACCCAGATTGGTATCTGATCTGGCTGGGAGTATTTTGGGAGGTTCTTGTATGTGTCCAAGTGTCCATTCGTCTAACGTGTAATTTGAGTGTGCTGTACAAGAATTATTTAACCTGTGCTCCACACGTTGCCGAGTTTGTCTATCTGTTATAAGGAGACCGCTCAGGGTAAAGATGCAAAACGTTCTTCATATGCGAAAAACGTCGATCTGTTAGTGCATGCTGTGGACTTTTCCGGTTTCGAATTTAGAGCCAGTTATGTGTTCATTATATACTCGCCTGATTCAGAGCCACCATCAGAGCTTTTGCTTTTTTCATTTCGGCCGACGGCCGCGAACCCTGTGACCGCACACGGGGGAATGAGGAAGTGGAAGTGTAGGCAGGTTCCTCTGACACGCCCACTTTGAGCCAGTGGTCACGCCGCAGGCGGCACAGCGTGCCTCTTCTAAAGCCCTGTACGTCTACACACACCTGGGAGGTCGAGCAGGTTGCTGTGTTGCAGAGAACCGACAGGCCCTTGGGGTGAGCACCTTTGCCGATTGAGCCTCAAGGGAGCCCCCATCCTGTAGTTTTAGATATTCTCCCTGAACCGGAGCGGAGACGAGCGGGGAAAAAAAAAAAAAATCCCTTCTCTAGACCATTTCCTAACAAGCGTCTCTGTGATGCGAGAGTGTTCAGCGGATTAAGTGTGTCTGCTCAAGAATCGGATCTACCCCCTCACTCTCCCTCCGCCTTCAGTCTGGGGGCCACGCCTCCCGAGTAGGAGCTGAGGCTTGAGCTTTCAAGCATGAAATAATTTTCCGCTGGTATGTTTAGTGCAAAAACAATGCTAAGTAAAGCAAAATATTGGACTGGAGTGAGCACACATGCCGCAATAGCAGTTGAATAATTGAACGTGCTCAAGGATGGTAATAAATAGCCGAGGTCCTTATTGGGGGTTATGTTAAGTATTATTTAACCTTCCTATAAAGTGCTTGTTTACATGCTGAGTGCCTTTTAACTCCCATCCATTTCCAAAGTCTTTTTAAATGCTGAAATATTGATGTCAGTCTGGAAGGGCTGGGCTCCGCTTCTGCCTGTTGGAATGGCTGCTTGTTCAGATCCCAACAGCTGCTGGTTTGGCGTCTTGGGTGCTAAAAGTTTGGTTTTGTGGACAGCTTTGCTACGGTTTTGTGAAACTGCATAAAAATAGCATCTTCCAGGGTTTCCCCCCCCTGTCTTTAAAGAGCAGGCATTGTCAAGCCAAGGGTTTAACAGAAAGCAGGCATCTGTCATCTCCTGAAACAGACCCAGGATCCTGCTCTGCGTTTCTGGTGTACTGTTTTAATTAAAATAGACGCACAGTGAGCAGAGCTCATTTAAAAAATAATAGTGAAACATCTGCAACTGCCTGACGTTTCTTTTTTTTTTGTACTTTACCGACATGAAGTACACTTCTAAGCTGTTGCCAGCTTAGAAGCTCGTTGGTTGGTGCTCAGGATGCACAACATATTGGTATTTAAAAGGTTAGATTGCTCTTAATCAAGTTGGTTGAGCTTCTTTCTTTTTCTTTTTTTTTTTGATGGATGCCGGAGTGTCTTCTGTCCTCAGATGTTGAGATTTAGTCTCGCAGTGGGACTTGATAACCTCGCTTGGCCCGGGTGGGGGAAGATACGTTAATGACGGCCCGTCCCTCCACTGAACCGTCCGGAACCGGGGGGTGGGGGGGGGTGGTCTGCCTGGTCTGGATCGGCCTCGCCTGGCGCCTCTTGGTTATTTCTGCCGACCCACTTGCGGTATGTTTGTCCACAGCAGCAGCAGCTCCAGGCCCAGCACCTCTCCCACGCGGCTCATGGACCCCCGGTCCAGCTCCCCCCCCACCCCTCAGGGCTGCAGCCCCCCGGCATCCCTCCGGTGACGGGCTCGGGCTCCGGCCTGCTGGCCCTGGGGGCGCTGGGGAGTCAGGCCCACCTGCCGGTGAAGGACGAGAAGAACCACCACGACCTGGAGCACAGAGGTGAGGAGCTGACGGCGCCGCGCTGGGGGCTGGGGGCCAGGAGCACCTCCTATATAGTGTTATAGTGGGTGGCTAGTGCATCACTAGTGAAGGCTGGCGATCCGGTAGTGTTGGGTGTGTCTGCATACTGCAGCTAGGCCGGTGTCAGCCAATCAGGTGTTGATAGTCTAGACATCGGAGGGTGCCAGTCGTACTGGTGTTATAAAGAGAATCAGAAGGTCCCTGCTGTGGGCAATAAGGTGATAAAAGTGATTGAAACAGCCCGGGTCAGTCAAGATCAGACTGGATTTGATCAACTCGCCCGTGTCACCTGGTGTTGAGCAGGAAATCGTCGAGCATTGTCCTCGTGTAACAGAAGTTTCATCAGCTTGTTTCATAACTGGGGCTGCTTTCATGGCTAGAGCTGGAAAATCGTTTTACCTTTCATGCGTATACTAATTTCTCTTTCTTTCCTTTTTCCCCCCCTCCCTTTCTTGGCCAATCATCTTTTCACTCTCCTCTTGCGCTTCCCTTGGTAAAAGAGCGAGAATCCAGCACGGTGAGTTTCAATTTCATGACATTACATCCTAACGGCATAAGGTGTGTGTGTGTGTGGAAGGGGGGCGTTCGGTCATGTTGTGTGAATATATATGTAAAAAATTGAATTTTTTGTATCTTCTTTTGGGAAGCGTCTGTCAGTACGTGCTTCAAAGCAGAATTATTTTATTCTGTAAGCTGTTTAAAATGATAAAAGTGGGAACAAAGGGATTGCAAAATAGAAGGCTGGTGCTATCTAATCCAGGTAGAAAATCATAGGATGGGGATTAGCAGTTCTATAATTTCATCACAATTAAAAAAGACTTTCAACTCCCCTTTTGGAGGGATTTATTCCTCCCTCCCGCCCTCCCTCTCTCGCTGCTTCCAGTAAATATTTATGAATACAAATACGGAATTGTTTCCTTCTGTTCATCCCCTTGGCCTTGTAAGCCGTTTATTAGATGGGCTTAAACCTTCGTGATGGATTGCGCCGGAGCTGTAAGATTGTGTTTCAATTGAATGCGCCTCGTGAATGGGGGCAGTCATGGCTGAAGAAATTAAACTCCTCCGGTGATTAGCGGCGCTGCCATTCTGCTCTCCTGTCAGAGTGGGCTCGTTGTCCTGCGGGGTCATCTGATCGCGCCGGCGGTGACTTTGGTTATCGGGTCGTGTTGAAGCAGGCCCATAAAGGTCAGGCCATTAACCAGACGCTTGGCCCTGAGAGAGAGAGAGGACAGGCCGCAACCCGAGGCCAAAAAAAACGACCGGGCACTTCATTTCGGTTTGTTCTAATGGTAAAAAAAAAGGCGGTGTGCTACAGACTCCGTGACAATGGCAACATTCATGAACATATTTAGGACTTCACTAAAGAGGCTCGACGACTTGAATGTCTTTGTAATCTGTCCAAGAAAGCAGCACGCTGCCTAGAGAGCCCTTCCGCTGGCTCTCTGGACGCTGCCCAGTCACATCCTTTCTCCCAGCTCTTCGAATCCTTCTTTTTTTTTAAACAACCACAAAAATAGCCGTCGAGCTCCAGGGAGCGCCGGCTCTGCTCAGTATTGATCGTCGGCCCTGGCAGTACTCGGTGTTCCCTGTCCAGGCGAGAGCGGGCGGCCTGGGCGGCTCGCAGAGTATGAATGGCCCTCCTCGCTCGCCGGATTTTGCTCGCGGATCTTTTTTGTTGTTGTCATCTTTCCACGGAAGACCGATCGGCGGCAGTAAATATTCCGAAGGTGGCTGGTCCCGTGCCCTCAATCAGTTGCCTGACTCCGCGCTGCTTGCTCGGCCTGCCTCACGGGCTAAAGAGGAAGGCTTGCCGCTCAGCTGGGTGCTGGAGCGCACCTCCACACCGAGGGGAGGGGTCGTGTTTTTGTAGAGGCAGGGGCAGCGAGACTGCAGAGAAGAAACTCCTCCCCCTTTCCAGTTGAGTCATTATTCTCGGCGGTGGTTAGTTTACCTCTGTGATGGAAATGTTTGTTGTTTTTTTTTGCTACGGCGTCTTTGCAGGGGACCTTCTTCTGCGCAGTCAGCTTATCTTCCATTTCAGACGCTTACGGCTTAGCTTCTTTGCATATAAGCTCGTACACTACGGCACTGCATCCGAACGTCGGCACTACTCCTGAGGGCATAATTAGTGTTCCTGTGAGGGTGGGGATGTGGGCGTTATCTTGAGACGGGCCCTGCTAGGTAGCCAGTCGAGTCAGTCGGCGGATGAGCTTTGTGGCTGTTATGCTCTGCTGCTTTGAGTAGGCCACCCTGGGATTCTGGATCCATTGGCCTGTCCGCCCTGTTCATCATGAGCCCGAGACAGCCCTTTAGTGAATGCACCCAGAGGTGTGCAGGGGAGCTGGCCAGGGTGTTGTCTGGCAGCCTCGTTGCCTGGTCGGGCCCTTTTCGTTTTACCACGATGTCCTGGTGCTGTGATCTCCGCTGCTCCTACAAAAGGTGTTTGCTCTGCAGGTTTATTCCAAACATTCTGGCAGAGTCTCAAACAGACATATGCAGGACATCTCATTTAAAAAAAGACAACCGGATTTTTAACCCGTTTTAAGTGACCAGAATTGATTTGTAGGCCTTAAGGGCCATTTGTTTAAAGGCACTGTATTTTGATGGATCTGTCAGGTGGCTGATTTAATCTTTATTTTTTTCCCCTTGTGATTGCAGAATAACTCCGTGTCGCCGTCCGATAGCCTGCGAGCAGCCAGCGAGAAGCATCGCGGCTCCTCTGACTACGGCATCGACACCAAGAAACGCAAAGTCGAGGAGAAAGACAACATGAGCAGATATGTACGTATTTTTGATGATTCTCCCACTCTTTGTGGGCTCCAGTGCTTGCTCTGTGTTGCGGTCTTCATTGAGGAGATCAGTACAGGCGAAAGTCCTGGTTTTCCTTGCTCTGTGAATGGCAGCCAATTTGCTGTGCCTGTCATCTGGCCTCACTGTCTGTTTCTCTCTGAACAGGACAGCGATGGAGACAAGAGTGATGACCTGGTGGTCGATGTGTCCAATGAGGTGAGACCAGCTGGCTTGTACGGTGTCTTTAGCTCATGTACAGAACCAGTTTTAAGGAGATTATTCTTTGTAGAGGTAGACAAGAGTCTGCGAGCTTCTTTAAAGGGTTTTATACTTGACATTAACTGCCAGAGGCTGCACTTTATGCTGGGGAAAAAATGGGGAATTTAATCTTGCAATAATAGCACACGTTTTCCCTTTCGGCTGCAAATCCTTAAGATGAACTGAGACAGCACTTTAGAGAATTGAAGTTTCTTTTTGAAGGACTTTCGGAAGAAGTCCCGTGCATCTGTTCCTAACTGTGCAAGCTGAAATAAATAAAAAAACGTGGCTGCACTAAACTGCCGTCGTTAATATTACAGATCCCTAGATTTAAGAGTTCATTTTTGCCCGTCAGTCTGTTTTAGTGCTGCCTTTGAAATATGCGTCGGGCTACTGTGGAAAGATGGGAGCTCGCTCCGTCTGGGTGTGCGCCGCGCGAGAGGGTGCGTGCGTCTGAGTTCAAGTGCTGTTCTCTCTGCCTTGGTGCAGGACCCCGCTACACCCCGCGTCAGCCCGGCACACTCGCCCCCCGAGAACGGTCTGGATAAATCGCGGGCGCTGAAGAAAGACGCCCCCAACAGCCCTGCCTCTGTGGCCTCCTCCAGCAGCACCCCCTCCTCCAAAACCAAGGAGCTCGTTCACGTGAGTGCCGCCCCGGAACGGGGTTCGGCAGGATCTTGCCGATCCGATCTACTTTGGGTTCCGATCCGATCTACCCCTTCGAAACCTTTGCGGTTTTCTTCTCTAATGAGATTAGTCGGGTTTTGTGGGGTAGTATGCAAGTTTGCATAGCCAGTCCGTGCATTCAGTCTGGAACAGAGTTATAATGGGAAAGGGGGAAGCTATAAAAAGCCCGAGGTTCTCCCACTCTAGTCTTGGGGCATCTCCTTTTTAATAGCGGCCCTGTAGCTTTGCAGCAATAACAGGCTGTCAGAGTTAGATTGGATTATGCTGCGCTCGCAGCCGGACTGTCACTTTGGATTTATCCTCTGCGGCTGCCGCCGCCGCCGAGATGATGATTTTTCATTTTTTTCTCTCTCCTTCCGTGCAGAACGACAAGTCCTCCACCCCCGGCCTGAAATCGAACACGCCGACGCCGCGGAATGACGCCCCCACCCCTGGCACGAGTACCACCCCCGGGCTGCGGCCCATCCTGGGCAAGCCCCCCGGTATGGAGGGCCTAGGTACTAACATTACTCTGTACCCGCCGTGCTGCACCGTGCCCTGCCTCAGACTGGGGGGGGGGGCTTGTCAGGGAAGAGATGTGAAAAGGGCTCACGTTATTCAGATGTACGATAGCAGCTGGCTGTAAGTGTCCACGTCTTGACCCAGGAGAAGCTTTCGAATGTTCACATTGCTGCACCGCAGAATCCCAAAACTGAAAGTTCTTCAGCTCCTCTCCCTGATTATCCCAAAGGTCTGGGTTTTCATTCCACTGCGTTAGACGTGTTTAGTTTCCTCGTGCCCTGCGTTGCCGTTTCGAAGACCTCGCCCGTCTCTTGGATGGGGATCTCGGCGATGGGGATTCAGGCCCTCTGTTGCGGGCCACTGTGCCGTAAGACGCGTCTGTGTGAGGAGCGGTCGGCTGTGAAGCACACTCGGGGTTCACCCCCTCTCTCTCTCTTTCTCGCCCCGTAGGCCCCGCCCTGCGGACTCCCCTCTCCATCTCGGGGTCCTATGCTGCGCCTTTCGCCATGATGGGGCACCACGAGATGAACGGCTCCCTCACCAGCCCGGGGGTCTACGCGGGCCTGCACATCTCCCCCCAGATGAGCGCGGCGGCGGCGGCGTACGGGCGCTCTCCCATGGTGAGCGGGCGCGCTGCTCTTCCTCCCTGGACGTCTTGGTTCGCGGAAACCTTCGGGAAGTCTTTTCCCCACGCGCTCGTCGTTGGTCGTATAGTCAAATGCGGTTTTGTTTTTCTACCCCGGAATTGCTCTCTCTGCCCTGGAAGCTCCCCGCTCTGTGGAGGGGTGAGCTGACAGTGACCGGTTTCCTGTCCTGTTTCGTAGGCCGGGTTTGATCCTCACCCCCACATGAGAGCCCCGGGCCTCCCTGCTAGCCTCACCTCCATCTCGGGCGGCAAACCGTAAGTCGGCGCAGTTCGTCTTGTCCCTTCCCACTTTGTTTTCCTAATTTGGAAGGTATAGCTTTTGGTCCCGTTTTTTTTTGCCAAACTACCTGCCGATTCTTTTTATTTTTAAACGTTTTATTTAATGATACCCCGACCCCACAGGCGAGGAAACCCTGAAAGTGCCCTGCAGAACAAACCGTACTGCAGACACCGCCTCTGGGGTCTCGCCATGTACGTTATGGGGTTTCGGTAAAAATAATAGACAAGAAAAGGTGGGGAGAAACATGCTTAGACACGGAACAAGAAACCTGGCATCATCTGAGCCTTGTTATTGACAACAGGTCCCAAGCTGGCAGTGTAGTGATGGAGGCCGAGTACAGCTGAGCTGTGGATCTTTCTAGAAGCAGTGTCTTGACTAAATGACCTGTTTTTTTGCTGCGCGGTTAGGTGTTGTGTGTTGCTCCCTGTTGAAATAACGAAGAAAGGGAATCGGCTGGCCCACCTGTAGCGCTTTTGTTGTGTTTGTAATTCTGAATGGATCAACCCAGCCTTTTAAAAACCCCCCCGATGGGCCTGGTTTGGCTCCGAGCTGAAGCGCCCCTGCTCTCCCCGCAGGGCGTACTCCTTCCACGTCAGCGCGGACGGGCAGATGCAGCCGGTGCCCTTCCCGCCCGACGCCCTGATCGGCCCCGGCATCCCGCGCCACGCCCGGCAGATCAACACGCTGAGCCACGGCGAGGTGGTGTGCGCCGTCACCATCAGCAACCCCACGCGCCACGTCTACACCGGCGGCAAGGGCTGCGTCAAGATCTGGGACATCAGCCAGCCGGGCAGCAAGAGCCCGGTGTCGCAGCTGGACTGCCTGGTGAGTGGCGCTCCTGGGGGGTAGGAGGGCGTCGCAGACCAGTCCGGCCACGGAGCTCCTTTCAGTGTTCAGTGTAAAACTTGGCGGTAAATTGAGTCTCGTATTGGTAGGAGATCAGACGCCAACGTGAACCGCTCGGGGGATTTTGTAGCATTATCTGGCGCACAGTGGCTTCCCTTTAGCGTTTTAGTTTAGAAATGAAACCTCTATCCCTAGGTTCTCTATATTAACTTGCGAGATGACCAGGCTGATTTTTTTTTGTTAAAAAAAAAAAGCTCTGCCCATGGGGAGAGAAAGCGCTATGATTTTAATTGCTTTAAAATTAGCCTTGATATCGACGTAACACAGCCGTTTAATTCGTTTAAGAGCCTGGCACTATTGATCCCATTAAAGGAGGACACGTCATGGTCGTGGAAAGCATCCAGCTTGGTCTCTCCCCTGTAGACGGAGCAGGGATTTCTGCTCTCTCTCTCTCTTTCTCTCTCTCCTCCTGTCGCGCACAGCGAGGACATCGCTCTCACACTCTCCCGGCCTCTCTGCCTCCCAGAACAGGGATAACTACATCCGCTCCTGCAAGCTCCTGCCGGACGGCCGCACGCTGATCGTCGGGGGCGAGGCCAGCACTTTGACCATCTGGGACCTGGCCTCCCAGACGCCCCGGATCAAGGCCGAGCTGACCTCCTCGGCCCCGGCCTGCTACGCGCTGGCCATCAGCCCCGATGCCAAAGTCTGCTTCTCCTGCTGCAGCGACGGCAACATTGCGGTGTGGGACCTGCACAACCAGACCCTGGTCAGGTGAGGAGCACTCGCCCCTCGGTCTGTGCCCTGGGTTTTCAGTGCCTTTTCGAGGGAGAGAAGAAGTCTGATGAGCTTTTAAAGAAATGAGCCCTAGCGAGCTGAAAAGAGAAATCTCCGGTCTGTGCAATGTGAAGTGTAAGAAAAGGCTGTGGAAGTTGTCTGCCCATTTCTTAGGTGAAGGTGTTGGGTGTCTTGCTGGGCCTGCCCCTTTAACCGAGAGCCCCTCCTGTGTCTGCAGGCAGTTCCAGGGGCACACGGACGGCGCGAGCTGCATTGATATCTCTCACGACGGCACCAAGCTGTGGACCGGTGGGCTGGACAACACGGTGCGCTCGTGGGACCTGCGGGAGGGGCGACAGCTCCAGCAGCACGACTTCACCTCGCAGGTGTGCGGGAGGCCACTCCTTGTGTCTCTGCTGTAGTAGTGTGAAGGGCGGTGGGACCACCCCTTTGTGTGTCCATACATATACTGTATGTGATGACATCACATAGCTCCGATATTACAATGTGATGACGTCATACATGTTCTTTATAGCTCTTGCTAATGTTTCTTAACTACACTGTTATGTGCTGATCGTGCATTGCAGATCTTCTCTCTGGGGTACTGTCCTACTGGGGAGTGGCTAGCTGTGGGCATGGAGAGCAGCAATGTGGAGGTCCTGCACCACACAAAGCCCGACAAGTACCAGCTGCACCTGCACGAGAGCTGTGTGCTGTCTCTCAAGTTTGCGTACTGCGGTAAGTGCCCCATCGCTCCAGACTCTTGATGGTTACCGCTCTGGAGGGTGGTTTTCGGTGCCTGCCCTGGAGTACCCCCGTGTCAGCTGCTTAGTGTTCCAGCTGGGCCCTCATCCCCAGTGCTGATCGGTGCCTGTAACTGATGGGATGGCTGGTTTAGACTTCTGTTTTGCACTGATTGAGCTATGATGTCCAACTTCAGCCCAAAGAACTTCCTGCAGGCTCTTTTAAGGTGGCTGATTTAAAATATGCTCCCTTATTTCTTGCTAAACAGCTCTTCTTAATAGGCGATCAATTGATGAAGTGCTTTTCTTTCCGGTTGAGTCCAATTGGTTTTATTTCAGCTAGTACACCTGGATAAGAGGTGCTCTGAAACTCGCTCATGCCAATTACTGATCTCATTCAGCTTTTTAAGAGCTGAAAGTCAACTTTGAAAAAGACCCCAGCTGGAAACAAAGACTTTTGGAGCACAAACCAGAGGACATAGTCCACAGCCCTCCAGCTCCAGGGCTGAGATCTGCAGAATTGGAAGTTAATGTACAAGGGTCAGAGGGCTGCAGATGCTCTGGAGCACCAAAAGCGTGTTCCCAACACACTGCAGTATGGAAAGAGTACGACAGACAACCAGATTCTTCGGGACAGCCTTGATTGTGCTCTAATAAAATATTCTAAGTGTATTTTGTTTTCTTGATTAAAGGTAAATGGTTTGTGAGCACTGGGAAAGACAATCTACTGAATGCCTGGAGAACTCCCTATGGAGCCAGCATATTCCAGGTATGTGGGATCAATACTGTGCCGTCAGCAGGGGAGCTAGAATATGCACCGATTCATTTTTTTAATAAATACGGATACAAGAAACATCATTCGCAGCCATTTATTTGTGCCTTAATGCCCGGTTAATCATCTTGTTTCGGAGGATGCAATGATTACACTCCAGGGGATGTTGGACCTTAAAACCGTCTTCCCGCAGCCAGACTCGGCTCGCACACCCTCTGTGCAGCCTCACGCGTGTGATTTCTGAACACGTGTGAGGACAGTAAGATCTTTGAACCGCAGAAATGCAAACTCATTTTCTCTTCTCCCTCCCCCCCCTCTCTCGGTGCAGTCCAAGGAATCCTCCTCGGTTTTGAGCTGTGACATTTCGGCAGATGATAAGTACATCGTCACAGGCTCGGGCGACAAGAAGGCCACAGTGTACGAAGTGATCTACTAGCTGGTGGAAATTGCCAAGGACCTGGGTATCCATTACCTAGGGGAGCTACTCGAACCCCCCTGCCTCCTCCCTACACTGACCGAGGGGGGAGTTGTTGCAGACTCGGGGTGGGGCGGGGTGGCACTGCAGCTCGGCTCGGACCCCCGCTGGCTGTGGCACCGAGTCCATCTGCCCGAGCACCACCAAGGACACGAGACACGCCAGGGGTGAGCAGCAGCAGCCATCGGCCTCTTCCAGACTGCCAGGAGCTCCTGAGGCACCGTAGCAGAGAATAGTCTTTTTGTTTGTGTTTTTTTTTTCTTTTCCCTGGGATTGTGGAAGATCATCTTTTTTTACTCTTGAGGACATTCTGTAACGCAACCTGAAGCAGCGCTTCGATTTTTGTGTTTTTTTTTTTTCCAGCCACGCTCCTGTGCTCCTTGGACGTCTTTTGTGAAAAGTGTAAATAATGGAGTATTAAAGACACTTTTATATATATATATATTTGCGTGTCTCGGTACACTTGTGATGGGTTTTCTCTCGTCCGTTGTCACTGGGGATGGAAGGTAGCATTCTTCTTTTTTAATTTTTTTTTAAATGCATTTCAGGCTAAATCTCATTGAAAGCAAGTGGGTTTATTCTAATTTTTGTGGAATTTATTGAACTGGAAAATATGCAGATTTTTAAAACATTTTTAAAAAAAGAGGAAAACGATGGTTTCCGGATGTCCTCCTGGTTATTATGGATGTGTGCGGCTGAAGCTCTTGCCAAGGGACCCTGTTTGTGCGGCTGCTGTGTGGGCTGACCTGAGCTCTGCTCGGCCTCGAGGAAGAAGCTTGCTGAAGGACCGGCCTTGGCGTGGGGGGGGAGGGGCAGGCGGCTGCAAGGGTGCCGTGGAGCAAGAACCTTGCAGCTTCACAAACATTGTAAAATTGGGGTCACGTGACTGTTTGCCCTTGGCCCCGTTTCTTGATTTTACCGGCGATTTACAAGAAGGCAGAGCCCAGGCTCTTGGTGGAATTCAATCGTCTCTCCCTCTGGAATGAGCAAGAACCTACTGATCTGAAGGGTGACGGTGTTCTTTTCTGGGATCGGTCTGGATTCCTGGTGTTAGTCTGGTGTAATTAGCCTGTGGGTGTTTCCCGAAGAGCTCGCAGGGATCTGCCGTAGTGTAGCCTGTATATGCAGTAGGGTCGTGCGGTTTTGCAGCCAGCGTTTATCCTACTGCAGTGCTGGCCTGGCTTGAGTTGCTCCTTCATATGGTTTTGAGGGATGGGCTAAGGATCTTCCTTGTGAGCTATGCTCCGCGGTTTCGGTTATGGCCGTTTCTCCTGCCACGCCTCGGAAGAGCCTAGAATGTTGAAAAGGCGATGCACTGAGGATCCCCCAGTGCGATGTGGGGCGCCAGTAGGAACCATGCTGCATTTCGAGTGTGCAACCAAGTGCAACCACTGTCCTGGCACGGCCATCGTAAACCTGTTTCTTGAGCAGTTTTTCATGTCTTCAGGGGATTCAGGTATTAAAGTGACAAATCTTTTTTTTTTCTTTTGAGTTGGTGGTTAAACAGTCAGTAGCTCAGATCTGAGCTGGTCCCGTCTTGTCTGCCTTCAGGTGACTTAGGTTGCTGTGGCCCACACTCAGAGTAGTGAATGATTCCCCTTTTCTGAGGCAGTGCAGTACATCCATTGCTGTATGGAGCCCTGTGAAACCTTAGTGTCCATCCATAGACTCAACTGAAGAGCTTTTTATTTTTTGCTTTATTATTGTCACTTTTTTTAATATGGAAATTTCAGATCCATGAAGCCTTTTATATACATTTTGTCCGGTTCTGGACTTTAGTGTTGGACCCTACCAGTCCTGAAATCGCTTCGGCTCGTGAAGTGTGATGGGTGACAGAAGTGCAAAAGTTGAACGTTTCCCGAAAGGCGAAATCCTGCAGCCCTGATTCCCCAGCCACCTCACCCCCACAGCAACCTCCTTCCTCCCCTTCAGTCTAAGGAGCTAGGGAGTTGGGTTCAAAGTGTCAGCAACTTACTGTCTCAAACTCACACCAAAGTATGTAGCAAACTTTGTCATCACTGAAGATAATGTACAGTTGTTAATAATTCAATAAACTGTTTTTGTACAAAAAAAACTTTTGTTTTTACTTCTTTGAACTGGCTCATAGCAGGTTAGGGAAGTGTAGTTTATGAGGTGTTTGGTTTCAGGGGTGCTTGTCCGGCCCCGTTTTGGATGCCAGAGAAGGGTTGCAGAGCTGACATATTTCTGAAAACGGTGCTTGCTGTCTGAACCCTTGTTGACCCATGCTTGAAATCCTCATACTGTTGCCGACTTCCCTTGCCCGTCTCCCGTTATGAGCCAGCAGTACTGAAATGGCACTTAAATGCAAGACATGAGTAAGAGTGATACAGTTAAGCCCTGTAATTTTTTAGTAAAGAAAGCTTTTCGTCAATAAATCGGTTAAATCATCCCTGTTTGTGGACAGCATGCATGCATTTCTGTTCAGTGTGTGCAAAGGCTGGAGCATGGGTGGCGTTTCATTACACCGAAACTGTATTTTAGTTCCGGTTCTGAAATGCAACGTTTTAACTGATGGCGAAGCAGATCCACAGGAGTGAACTCTAGGTCATCCATCTGAAGAGCCAACTTTCACAGGTACTCAGATAACTGGCCTCTATAGCTGGGCTTCATTAAAACTCCAGGACGATCCTGGTCTGTGAAGGAGAGTTTAGGAAGTTATGGGATGAACAGGGAATGTGAATCTATGGTTAGGGCCACATTGTGGAAAAAATTCTAGCGCCTAACTAAGAAATTGGGAAAAGGCCTGAATTTAATTACCACATGTTTTACGGTCACTGCACTTTCTTAAAAAATGCAACAACCATCCTAAGGTCAGTTAGCACAAGAGCACCTCTTTGGGATTTATTTCAGACTCTACGCCCTTCGAACTCAGTTACACGGTTTCCTCAGTAGCATTCCTGCACTTGAATCCCTTGATGAATTCGGTGTAAACCACATTTCACCACTCTCTGCTCCGATTAAACAAGTCAACTGGCATTTTCATTTTGACATTGGGTCATCCTCAGCTTCCTGTTTTGGCATTTTTAGGTCTGCCTCGATTTAAATGTGTATGAAGACCCAACTGTGTGTGGTCTAACTGTGAAAAAGAGAGTGTGGTGTAACTAAGGTTTTCTGGAGATTTTGTGCTTCAGATTTAAGAGAAAGTCATTTAAAATCTCGGACACATTCATGCTTGGTCATACCTGTAGTCAGAAGGTACAGATGTAAAACTTACTGACATCTGAAAGGATGTTTAAACTGACTACACCGTAACTTGCAGCTCCGATAGTGCCTTCTGTGACATGCAGAGGGTCACTTGCTGCAGCTCTGGGTTTAGTAATGCAGTCTTAGGGTGCTACTTGATAGAAACCTGATGTTGTAGGATTTGCAATTTTGCCCAATGTTGAAGATGAAGCGGTGCTCTTTGATGGGAAGCTTCTTGCCTCTCGGAGCCTGGATCTAAATCCGGGTTTGTTCCTGGTGTTGGTGCAACCATAGTTCTTGTACCTTGTGTGAATGGGTCAACGGAGAGGGCAAGTGAGAACATTTATCTCATCACAGTGAGGTCGTCGTGCTGTTGAAGTCGAAGAGCCAAGGGGACATAGAGATGAAATATCTTTCTCTTGTTGAAATGATCGGCTTGGCTGAGGCAGCCTTCGCTGCTGGTGAAGTCCTACGCAGCACATTTCTTTTCCCACCTCACTAGCACTGTCGCACTAGAGGCAGGGGGCCTTATTGTTAATTTGCACTTGTGAAGGGGTGCGGTGTGGCTGGGGGGAAGGGGCGGGGGACCTCATCTCCTTCACAGGGCCAAACATGTGCTGTGTCCTTCAGGGGGCCTGGCTGATGATGCATTGAACATGACAAGGCATGCTGCGCGACAGAGAGGAGGCGGCAGCAGCCCTGTAGATGCTCGTGTTTTACTTAATGCGCACCGGTAAATGGTTATAAGTGCATTTCAATTTGATTTTCAGCTGCACAGAGCTTGTAGCTTTCTCTCGGGACCATTAAAGGAAAGCAGATTGCAGGAAAGCTCTTGCCTGTGTTTCCTGACGCTCTGGTTCTCCTCGGAAAATCTAGTGCTGGTATCCGGTAAGACGGGAACGCTGATAGTGCCGGAGGAATGCTGTGAGGGAGCAGTGTTTTGTGTCTCCTCTCACGTGCTCAGGAAGAGCCTGGACCTGCCCTGGGTGCCCAGTGAGCATCGCTATCTCTGTGGCCGTGTGCACAGTGCTTCACTTCAGAAATAGCGAGCAGAAAGGCTCTTTGATTGTTTGGTAGTTTTGCCCCTTAGGAAACAGGAAAAAAAAATACTGCAGTTTCATGTGAACAACAAACGAGGTGTTCTGCGAGTGGTATTTGAGTTGAATTGGCAAAATGAGTTGAAGAATCTGTCAGAAGAGCTCTTCAGAAAAACGTTAATTTTCACAGAAATAGTGAAAGATGCAAATCATGCCCCACTTGGGCACTGAACATAACCTGGTTTATATGGCTTTTTGGGGTGGTGTGGTGGCTCTGTGGCTAAGGATCTGCGCCTGTGGCTGGAAGGTTGCCGGTTCATATCCTGCGTCCGGCAAAGGAATCCTACTCTGTGGGGCCCCTGAGCAAGGCCCTTCACCCCAACTGCTCTGGGGGCACTGTATAAATGGCTGACCCTGCGCTCTGACCCCAAGCTTCTCTCCCTGTCTGTGTATCTCATGGAGAGCAAGTTGGGGTATGCAAAAAGACAAATTCCTAATGCAAGAAATTGTATATGGCGAATAAGGTGATCTTATATTCGTATAGTTCAACATGGCCTGTTTGTGAGATATTGCCAAAAGGAGTTGTTTGTTATGTTTAATTTAGCTGGCAGCTTTATCCAATGGTGCCTACAGAGAGAAGCATAAGAAAGCCTGTGGTGTAGAATGAGGATAACCTTGCTGCTTGTCAGCATGTCCATGAAGGCCACACAGCTCTTGCATTACAATTGCACGTCTTCAGGAAAACAATCTTGAGCTCCTGGCATATCCAGACTTTCTCAGATTGAGAAGAAAGTCCCATAGAACAACTTGGACATCCTTCTCAAAGCCATTGACAGGAGACCATTATGACTGTATGACCAGCCAGCCTCGGCCAGAGAGGTTACACTTGAAGAGAGGTGAAATATCCCACAGCTGTCTATCCAGAGGCTGCCCAGGTGTGTGCATCAACACTGCCAAGTGTTTGTTGTGTAGGTCCAGGCTGGTTACATCTCAGACTAACCTGGAAGTACTGGATTTTTTTTTTTGATAGTGTTTCATTGTTTCATACTGAAAATGTATCACGATTGATCTGTTTTTCTCTTCTTATTTCCTATGATATTGCTCTCTGTTAAAAAACTATTGTCTCAGTTCTTTAGACCTGGGTGTTTGGTTTCTTTTGTGTTTCAAGGTATATATTTACATTGGTATTTACAAATGCAAAACTTCCTTTTACAAGTGAGAACATCTGCTCAAAGCTGTTTTTGTTCTGTAAAAGTCTTCCCTTTCTGTGTCTCTCTACTATAAAAATCAGCGACAGCACACTCCCAATTTATCCCAGCACAAACCAAGCTCCTTAATTATCTGAATGAATTAATTATTGATTGCAGATCTGCTTTGTGCCAAATTGCAACAGCTCAGGTTTCATGCGTAGGCATTTCAACTTGCTTTAAGACAAAAAGCAAACATGAAGCATGTTTCTGCGAACTAAAGATAAAGCACATTTTTAATTTAGATTGAAAGTGGAAAGGAATACATTTTCCCTAATGCCTTTTGGACTGAGAGCTCTTGCAATGAAGGGAATCCTGCAACAGTGATTGTTTGAATTTGACTGCTCTTGCACTGCAATGCTGTTGCTTCACGTTTTCGGGCACTGATGGGGGAGTGGCTTTTAGTTGTGGCTATAGTGCAGAAACCCAGGCTCGTTTCAGGGACAAAGATTAAGGAAACTGTCAAGTGTTTTTGAAAAGCCCCACTGCCTGGAGGTTAAAGGCAGTGTGCCAGTCCAACTTCCCTTTAGTTCAGCAGGCTCCTTCTGCTTACCTGGGCAATTCTTCTTGTGTGTGGTGTGAAGCACTTGGTTCCTGATTCACATGAACAGTGTTACAGGAAGGTGAGAACTTATCTTTAACCTTGGATGTGTTTTTCCTCACTTAGTAAAACCATGAAAGAGCAAGCTACAGGATGAAATCCTTTTTTCCCCCCGCAGTGCTTGTCAATGGATACCGATAAGGATATGTTGAAAGAGTTTTGTTTTATACCAGCCGGTGACCGTTTCCTACTGAGATCCCTTGTCAGGTAGGGTTCACGGTGCTCACTTCAGAAGGGACAGGGATTTCAGCGAGGGTGGTGGTAGGTGAAATAGCCTGTTTACTGGGTTCTCCTCACTCAGACGGGTTTTTGGCAGGGTTTTCAGCCTCGGTCTCCGATGATGGCTGATGATAAAATGAGGGCTTACTACATGAGATGCATAGTGGCTAGTGGTTCAGAAACCAAGCAAGCTGCCTGTAAAAGTCCAGGAGAACAACATACATGTGTGTCTGGAGTGTGAGGGGCAGCCACAGATTGGCCAGTCCAGTGGCTCAGAGATCAGTAAAGCTTTGCTTGGGGGTTGGTTCGCAGGTCTCCCGATGAAAGAGGGAAAATTGCTCCCACAAATAATCCTTTAATCGCCAGGGTATTGCCAGTCTTGGGTTTTAACTCCAAGGGATGTGAAAACCCCCAATGTTTGTGATTACAGTGTTGGATCGGGGTAACAATGCCTTTACTGTTTGACTGCAGGCTACAACCCTCTAATCCACTGTACATTCCAGAGAGTGTTGAGTTACACAAAGACCACCGGGGCTCTGAGGAGGGGAGGTGCGAGTGGGTGGGGAGGCAGGATTGTTGTCATGGAGGTGAATCCAGACCTCCTTCTGGCAGATCTCTCTAGACCAGATAAGCACTAGGACAAGCAGAGGGACAGTTCGTGTTTATTTATTCAATAGCCCACTAATCCTGGAGCTCCCCTGACTGCGATAGCACTGCAAGTCCAACTGGAGATAAATGCTAGAGGAGTATTGCAGTCCTGTGCCTG